TTTTTTTTTATTTTTTTTATGAAAAACAATTTTGGGCCCTCACTGAGCTTCTCTTCTTCTCTCTCTTCTTGGTAAAATGTTTCTAACCCCTAAAGGCATCCAGCGGTGGTTGATCCACTTATGCACTGTTGCCAATTTTTGGAAAAATACCGAAAAACCTCTTTAAATCGGCGATTTTTTACCGGTTTTCCTTTCTGTCTGTTTGAAGGTTTGCAAACATTGAACACGACTAAAATCAGTTGCAACGTTTCGAAACGGCGCCATCCTCAGTGGGATTTTAATTCGCGATTCATAACCCTTTCATATATGACACACACTTTGGTTTTACGTGAACTAAACTACATTTTTCAGCTTCGTGAGGTTGTATTTAAAAAACCTGTGTTTTGATTGGTTAACATAATCCAGATTTATTGGTTTTTTACATTTTGTAAAAGTTTTTTTTGTACTTATTTTTATAAAAAAATTTTTTGGTGGCCCAACCAAGCATCAGGTCGAAAAATGCCGCTCCTGATAAAATGTTTCCAATCCCTGAATATATGAAAAATACCGAAAACCCACAAGTCCAAAAAAATAGACAGAAATAAAGAAAATTTTCACGCTTTTGAATTGAAACCGTTAAATGCTAAAAGTTTTTTTTAATTAAGTATTATTTTAACTATAAATTTAATTTTAAGTATTAATTTGTGGTAATTTAGAGAATTTTTTTATTTTCGAGGGTGTGCAGGCTCACAAACACACAACTCAACGAAAATCAGCCAGAAAGTTTCGAAGCTGCGCCATCTTCAATTAAATTTAAACTGATGTGTTATAACTGGCCCATGTATGACACACACGTTGCTTTAATGGGACTAAATAGCATTTTTGGGCTTCAAGGGCGTTGAATTGGAAAAATGTGTGTTCTGATTGGTCAAAATTGTCGAGAGCCAAAAATTTTACAAAATTTTTTTTTTTTTAATTGCTGTTATTTTTATTTTTTTATTAGAAATTTGTTTGCGCCCTAACGAAGCTTCTGGCCGCCAATTGCTGCTCTTAGCAAAATGTTTCTATCGCCTGAAGGTATTCAGAGGTGCTTGTTTCATTTATACACTGATGCCGGTTTTTCAAAAAAATAGAGGATTTTTTTATTTATATTATAAAAAACACATTTTATAAAAAAATTCATAACCGGCCTGTGTATGATACACACGTTACTTTACAGGGGTTTTTAATGGATATTTTTTTCCACAAAAGCCCAGTTTAGCCCCATTGGGGTTCAGGGGCTAGATGTTTGCAGTTTYAAGCCCCGGCGCAATAATGGGGTTTTTTTGGAGGASTTTTGSAGTTTTTATGGACCTTTAAAGTTTCGCTCCCCCCTAAACGCCTGAACCRGATTTGCTTTTTTTCTCCCCTGGTTCAAAGGGGRCTTGAAAGGCTGAGCCCACTTTGACGTTTACTCAATCCCCCCTTAAAGCTTAAACCGCCCACTTTAACCCSATGGACSCCCAAACTTCCATTCAGGGCATTTAAAACTGGCAACGCCGGCCCGAAATGGAAACTTTGAGGATTTCATCYAGATTTCATGCAAATCGGCCGCAAATCCCCCCGCTTAGCAGCCGCCTGGACCTGGCCTGGTTATTATCAATTAAAATGTCAATTTCCGGTCAGTTTTCCATCCCCCCAAAGCCATCGGGGCCTTAAAAGGCCGCCTGAAAGGCCCGATTTGGACCCCAGAAGTTCGTCAAATTTACTGACCGAAAGATCGCCACCGTAGAATGGGTGGATCACGAAAGTTTCGTTCCCCACGTGGATCACGCCGCTCACTCCATTGCACGTGTGGAAGGCTGCCGTTGCGCCTGGATAATCCTGGACTTTGCCGTGATAGTAGCAGTGCTCGATGTCCTGGAAAACACAGAGAAAAAAATAGGTTTGGCAACGTCGAAATTATTTTAATATCGCTTGGGAGCGTCCAGCTTTGAGGCAGTTGAGTGGATGGCAGGTTTTTTGGGTAAAACGAGTTCGTACCTGTTTGGAAACCTGCTCAGCGCCGTTTGCCAGATAGTGTTTCTGCATGATGTTGGGGGCGATGAGTTGGCTGGAACAAACAGTGTTTTTCGGTTATTTTTTYCTAGAATTTTCCAGGATTTTTTCAATGTTTTTACATGCCGCAAATTGTACGAATTTGCGWTGAATAAATTGGGCTGAAATGTTGGAAAGCCACGCAACTTTCATCATCGGACACGCAATTGTTCCTACCAATTAACTTTTTCCAGCAGCTTTGGCYCAAAATCGTGGAAAAAATGTGAAGAAAAAAGGACAAAACKGGCAAAAACACGCGAYTTTKTAGCCCAAGCTTCCAGCCTCAAGAGTGTCAACTGTTCCCACCAATTCCACTATTTTGAGTCSAAAAACTCTGAAGTCAAGCCTTGATTTACTTGAGATTTTTTTCAGCAGGTTCGACAATTATTGTCACRAAATTRTCATTAAATGCTCCTCAGATTGTTGAAGACTTAGCGGTTGGTTGGTGAGAGTTTGCTAATTGTTCCCACTAATTAATTGTTTTGGGTGAAAGTACGGGAAAATATGAATTTACTCACTTTTTCGTGTGAGGTGGATGGGAATTTGATTTAAACAGTGTTTTTTTATATTAAAACTTCAACAAAGATTTGGCAATTGTTGCAAAGGTTGGGAGTGGATAACGAATGTTCCTACTAATGAACTGTTTGAGCTGCAAATCTAGAGAAACTGTCAGTCTACTTAACGTTAATTTTTTTGTTTGAGGAGACTGAGAAATGGAGAAAAACAGTCCCTTTTGCTAGTAAATTTTGTTGAAAAATTGACAACTGTTCCCACTAAATTGCCATTAAATGCACCGAATGTCGCAAATTTTCATCAATCTCTAAAAACTTTAGTTGAATTGGACGAACTTAAATGTTGGAAAGCAATGAAACTTTAAGCATCGGACTTTTTTCACAAGTTTGCGCCTCACACTCGGGAAAAACAGTTTAGAATTCCTGTTTTCTCATTCACTTTTCAAACAGCAGATTTAGAGCCCTTGCAGGTTTCAAGCTACAATTACTCCCACTCAATTTACATTTTAACCGAAGATTTCAAAAAATTGTCACCTTAGCAACTGTTTTTTGCTAGCGAACTGAAAATTTTATGAAAACCTTTGGTTTTGCATGCGGATTTTACTGCAAATCGGACAATTGTTCCTACCAAATTGCAACAAAATTGCATTTTAAACCCTCAAAGTGCTAAAAGTTGTGAGATTTACGTTTTCTTTATGATATGTTGGGATTTAAAAGCGACGACACTTCAACTATTTGTTTGGTAAACACCACAATTGTTCCCACTAATCGCGTTTTTCTGCTGATTTGGGAACAAAATCCAGCAAAATAATCATCGATTCTTAGTTTAGCGGAACTTTTGAAACGGCTGTGAATAATGGGCAAAGTTTCCAGCATCTGAAGCCTTAAAGCCGCAATTGTTCCTACTAATTTCAATTTTTTGCGACTAGATCTAAAAAGCACAATATTCCGGCAAATTTTGCCTTAATGAAACTGAACATTCGATTCAAATTTGTTTTTGTTTCACTGGTGAATCCAACGGCAAATGCGACAATTGTTCCCACTAATCAAAAGTTTTGGTTAGAAAACTGCACAAAAAATTATTCTAATAACTTTTTCGCCTCAAACAACTAGATACTCCAAAGAAAAAGTCACTGTTGCATGCAAATTCAGCAGCTGAGTTTACAATTGTTCCCACCAAATTGCAATTAAAWGCTTTCAATGCCGCTGAAATTGAAAATTTTCWATTAATTTSCGCTGAATGAATTGAATTTAAAACKTGGAGGGCAGTGAAACTTTGAGCACCGGAATCGCAATTGTTCCTACCAATTAACTTTTTCCAGYAGCTTTGGCTCAAAATCGTGGAAAAAAGTTMAGAARTGTTGTTTTCACTAACACTTTTCAAAGAGTAGTTCGAATTAGCCAGATTTAGAACCCCTGAGGGTTTCAAGCAACGATTACTCCAACTTAATTTGAATTTTAGACCGAGAATTTGAAAAACTTGTCAACTTTGTTTCTTCATACCGGACAGAAAATTACATAAAAACCTTGGGTTTTGCACGCAGATTTTCTGCAAGTTGGACAATTGTTCCTACCAAATGGCATCAAAATGGTCTTAAAACCGCCAAAAGGGTAAAAGTTGTCCATCCATAGAAAAAATCCATTTTTTTGGCTCTAGATCTAAAAAACTACTCAATAATCTGGCAATTTTCTTAACGAAACCGAAAATCTAACTAAATTTTGTCTTTGTTTCACTCTTGGATCCAACAGGAAATGTTACAATTGTTCCAACTAATCAAAAGTTTTGGATACAAAATTGCACAAAACACTATTATAACGACTTTTTCGTTTAAAATAACTAAAGACCCAAAAGAAAAAGTCGCTGTTGCACGCAAATTCAGCAGCTGATTTCACAATTGTTCCCACCAAATTGCAATTAAATCCTTTCAATGCCGCTGAAATTGAAAATTTTCTATTAATTCGCGCTGAATGAATTGAATTTAAAGGTTGTAAAGCAATGAAACTTTAATAATCGGACTCGCGATTGTTCCTACCAATTAACTTTTTCCAACAGTTTTGACTTGAAATCGCGGAAAACCGTTTAAAATTCTTGTTTTCGCATTCACACCTTTGACCCCACATGATAGACAATTTTCTGCAGTGTTTTGAGGGAATTTTGGATAGAACTTTTGAAAAATTTCTTAAAATAAAACTGTAACTTCGCGAATGGTGCTGGTTGCTGTGTTGGAAAGAGAACACTTGGGCCCAGAACTGAGGAAAATTTGAAATTCACAGGGTTTTTCCTGGATTTTTACAGGATTTTTGTTTTGGACATTTTCGGATCCTGCGACGAATAAGAAAGTTGCCACTTTAGGACGAGGCAATTTAAAACATTTGCCGTCGCTTTCCCAAACATGCCATCCAAACGAAAAACACTCTGTATATAGAGAAGAGGACACTCTTTAACATATTGGGCAAAACAGTGCATTTTCGGCCTGACTCGTCCGGTAGCAGCTCTTGAAAAAGAGTCAAGAAGATTTCTTCAACTTGCCAGTTTTTGCAAACGAGAATTTAAAAATTCACCTTTCACTGGCTGAAGCTGGCAGGCAACTGAAAACTTCACACTTTATAGGGCATGCGCTCAGCTATCCAGCGCAGCAACAGCTCTAACTAAAGCTGGCCCACGTTGCAATCCACCAGCCGAAATAAATGGCGATTTGTGATTGGAGCAAGTTGCCATTTAACCACAAGGCGACTTCGAAAATTCCCCATCTTTTTCCCAAAAATGGCAAGCAAACGAGGAACGCTCTGTATATAGACAAGCCAGAGGGGGTTGCAACCCCCTAGAAACCCGGGCATTTTCGGGTTTGGGTTCTTCGATTGGGGCTCTTCAAAATGGGTCAAGAGCAGTTTTGCAACTCGCTTTTTTGCCAAAGAGTTATTGGGAAAATTTACCAACCACTGCAAAGAGCTCCAAACCAACTGGATTTTTTTTGAGCTTTAGCATATGCTTAGCGCTTTCGATCAAAGGAACACCTTGACTCAGCCCTGGCCTACGTTGCAAAACGCAGGCCGATATAAATGGTCATTGATGATTATAGCAAGTTGGCACTTTACGGCGAGGTGGATTCAAAAATTTCCCAAAACTAGCCAAAAAACGCTACTTTAATGAAAACCACTGTGTAGATAGAGCAAGGCCTGCAGGTGAGGATGGCGTAAAAACCATCTCAACTTCTGACTCCTGTTTGTCTCTAACAGCCCTCGAAGAAGAGTTGAGAAGAATTTCGCAATTTGCCAATTTATGCAAAAGAGACTTCAAAAATTCGGCAGTCATCAACTGTTATTGGCAACGAACTGAAATTTTGCCACTTTAGAGGACATAGCTGTGGAAGTCCAGACAAGGAAAACTGGCAACCTCGGCCGGCCCATGTTGCCAAAGATGCGTCGATTTATTGGGTCATAGACAATTATGGCAACTTCCCACATAACGACGACGTGGTTGGAAAAATTCGCCCCAACTTGCCAAACGGCACCACCGAAACGAAAAACGCCCTGTATATCGCCAAGATCTGTCTGGTTAATAGAGTGATGATTCTAAAAATGCTGGTTGCTCCGGTGGTCTGAACGGCGCTGTTGAAAATGAGCCAACAAAATTTTGTCAACTTGGCCCTTTAGGCAAGAGTGGCTTGAAAAATTCACCAGCCCCTAACTCAAGCCCCGAACAAACTGAGATTTTGTGATAGTTTAGAGCGTCTATTGGGCTTTCTAGAAAGTCGACTTCGGGAAAAAGCGCTGGCCTACGCTGCCGCAGACGAGCCATTATAAATGGTCGTTGGTGACTATTGGAAATTGCCACTTTACTGCTAGCTGATTTCAAAAATTTCCCCTTAATTGCCAACCAACTCCATTTTACTGAAACTCACTGCGGATATCCACAAAGACTCGGCCGTGAACTCAGGGTGAAAATAAGTTTGGTTTAGTTCCCCAGTTTTCCCCCAGAGGGTCTCAAAAATGAGTTAAGGAGACTTTTGCAAGTTGACAATTTAGTCAAACGACAATTCAAAAATTCATTAGTCACCAACCGAATGAGGCAGGCAATTGGAATTTTTTGACATCAGAGCATAGGCCTGTGGCAGTCCAAAGAAGCCAAACTGGCAACCTCGCATGGCCTAGTTTGGCAATGACGCGCCGATTTCTCGGGCGATTGGCAATGATAGCAAGTGGCCACTTGACGACAAGGTGATTTGAAAAATTCGCCCCCACTTTGCAAAGCACGCCACCCAAACTATAAACGCTCTGTATAGAGAGAAGACTTGAGTGTCAACCAAATGAAACTTTCTCACTTTATAGGGCGTGGCAGATTTTCTTGAGCTTCTGACTGAAAAACGCTCTGCTTCTAACGTAAATTTTGCTCTTCAGCCTCGTTGGAAACCAATCAGGGACAATTAAGCGGGCAAACTGGATGAGGAATTAAATAATTGAATACAATTTCATTTTCCGGGCGTGCCGGATTTTCCGCATTGTC